CCCACCCTCAGCAGGCTTCATCCCTAAAATATCCTGGAAGTTTCCAACCTGGAGTTGGCAACCCTATGTCCTTTCCACGCAACCATCAGCCAACCTTTATCTGCCTGTCTGTTTTAAGTTTTACATCCCCCCCCCCCACAGCCTCTGGCTAGGGAAAGGGCAGGCTTCCCCTGCAGTGGGAACCAAAGCAGCTGACATCATTCTCCTCTCCCCCGTATGATCCGCACAACTACCCTATGAGGTATGTTAAGGTTGAAAGTGTGTGAATGGTCCATAATCCCCCAGGCAGCTTTTAAGTGAGGACATATGTTACCTCAGAATACAGCAGTTCCCATATGCAACTGAAAATTCCAACTGCCTTGCGGGGGGGGAGTTTGAGGTGTGGAATGGAGTGAAGTCCAATCAGCTTCCACATGCAAAAGACCTTGAAACGCTGGGCGGGATTGCACAAAGCAGCCAGTCAACCCAGCCAGCGTCTTCTGAGTGGCAGTTCTTCCGGCCAAACACTAAACGGGCCAAATTTAGAACGTTGCAATATAGAACGTTGCTATTCAATTATAATAAGGGAGAGATGGCTCTCATGAATGTTAGTGATTTCCAAGTAACTGCCCATTTATCTATGTCAATTGCATGTCCTAGATCTTTCATCCATGCTCCCATCATTGGAGTGACGGCTCCGTCTTGTACATAATCTTCTAATAAGAATTTATATATTTTCTGAATCATTTTATCACTTGCAGATAACCAGATCTTATCTACTTGGGTTTTGGATTCTTGAAAGCCTATTTTTGCATCCTTGGTGTTTCTAGATTGCAGTTGTGTTACTTCCCACCAGGTTAATTTGAGCTAATAAACTTTCCTTTGAGTTTAGTTTGTTATTCTTATCCAACAACACTTCATAACTTTCTCTGTCGCTGGCATTAACTAGAGATGGTTTTATAAACGCTTCTAGTGGGGATACCCACTTTGGAACCTTGTGGTAGTATCTTTCCTTTATTTCGTTCCAAACTCGTACTAGTGCTTCTCTTATCATGTGGTGTCCAAAACTGGAGTGTATCCTATCCTTCCCATACCACACATAAGCGTGCCAGCCCATACTTAAATCGTGTTCTTCTAAATTCAAAGTTCTTATGTTTTCCAGGTTTATCCATTCTTTTAACCAAGTAAGTACAGTCGCCTGGTGACACTCCCTTGGCACTCTTAACGGTGTTTCCCGAGGATCTGAAGTGGTTCAAGGGAAAAAACTGGAATCAGAGTAGACGATGCTGACTCTGAAGGACCAAAGGGCTGGTCAGGTATAAAGCAACTTCATGCAAACACAGCACCAGTGCCACTAGTTAATTATTCCTTTCTTTACATACCTAGAACTCAATCCTCAGGCAGCTCCAATGAGTTTGCTGGGACTTGCACAGAAATGCTTCCTTAGACTATCAGAGCAGTAAAGGGTTCACAGGATTTCTTCCAGAGCTGATACTGGAATCAGTGGGTCACAAAGCAAAGGGCAATCCTACTCGGGACTAAGCTCCACTGAAAGCACTGAGATTTACCTCAGAGGAAGCAGACTAAAAGTGGCATTCTAAACAGCCTTAACCTCCACCCTTGTAAGACTGTCATTTACGTCGGTGGATTCAGAAAGGCGTAACTCTGCTTAGGATGGCCACTTGCACATTCTGCCTGGTTGGCTAGTCCTGGAAGCCGGAAGGCCATAAGGCACAGCGCGAGGCTTGCCTGGCGCGCGGAGCCCAGAAGACGGGGAGCGTTCCCTTTAAGGGGCCGGGTCCTCTGCCTCTGACGTCAGGGCGTTCCTGCACCAGAGCCGGGCAGCATCCGAGAACCTGTTCAGGCGCGGGGCGGGGGGGAGGAGGCGAGGGAGCGGCGCGATCCCTCTTCGGAAGTGTCCCCGGCCAGCGGCCCCTCCGCGTCTCTCCTCGGAGCTCCCCGGACCAGCCAGCAGCCATGTCGGTGGCGGGCTTGAAGAAGCAGTTCCACAAGGCCACGCAGGTAGGGGGACGCGCGGGGGCTCCGCCTGAAGCAGCGCCTGGCCTCGCAGGGGAGCAGCTGCTGCTGACCCTCACCTGACGGGAGAGGCGCTGCCTTTCTCCCGGGGGGCTGGCGACGCAGTGAGCCGCGAGGGGAGGCCTCGAGGGGGCGCTGTGCGGAGGCTGCTCCTCGCGCCCGGCTGAAGTTGGCCAGGGATTTTTGCCCTGCGGGAGGCTCGAGGACATCCCTTCGGAGGCCGCGGCTGAAAGCGCCAAGTCGAGAGGACGGGCGGAGAGGGCGACGTGCTTGTTTTCGGAGGGGGATCCACGGGGACTCCCCGCTTCCCTGCGTTGCCTGTGCGTGGCTGGGGCGGCGTCCTGCCCCGTTCGGCGTTTAGCGCCATCGGCGCTTGCAATGCCGAATATTCCGGCTCTGCTGCCTGTGGCTGGAGCCGGCATGAGTCCTTGGGGAGCGCTCGGTTGGGCACGTCTGCAGCATCAGACGGCGGGTGCATACTGCAGTGTGGTCTCCGGTGAGGAGGCGAAGGGGAAGCACTCGGGGCCATCACTCGCCCCCCCCCATCTTATTTGTTTGTTTGTTTTGAGCACTCACACGAGCGTGAATCCGGATCAGAGTCCTGGCTGGATGGCAGGAGACGCCAGAGCCTTCCTCCCCCCACCCCCGTATTGGAGCACTTCAGCCACTGCATCGATGGCACGCGCTGGGGAGGATTTGTGGCTGTATCTCCGCCGCTGCTGCTGCAGCCTTCACCGGAAGGCGGGGGGGGGCCGCCAAGTAGAGAGGACAGGCGGAGATTGCAACGTGCTTGTTAGTCGGGGGGTGGGGGTGGAGTTGAGGGCTGTTGATCAATTGTACTATTTCTATTCCTCCCAAGTGAGTTTCTCGATGGGACGCTGATTATATAAAAGTCCTCCTCCAATGACCTTGCAGTGATGTCGTTACGATGCTTTGATCGGATAAGCTGGTCCGTCACATACCGATGCTCTAGCCCTTATTTTGTGCACATTCTCTCTCCCCCGGAAATCGTTGCTATCCTCCCACCCCTTTCTAGAATTTTTCCAGTTAATTGGGCTCCCTGGACATTAGTGTTTCTTCGAGAGAACTGTGCGGAACCTTATAGTAAAGCTATGTCAAATACTGGGGCTTTTAAATCCCAATGTGGAATTGAGTATTTAAAATGACTTTGTATGTAGATAACATAGCTATGAAATCAGAGCAAGGGTTATGGTGTGGTGTTTTGGGAGTGCATGGTAGATATCTTAGGGCTCAACTACCACGTCTTAGAACTATTTCTGTACAGGGCAAACATGACTCTGTTGACAGTGTCTTGGGAGAATGTCCCAGTGCCTCAATTTGAAAGGATGTGCTGTAAAAACGTTATCGTAGAGTCTAAAGGTGCAGTGTTTTTATAGTTTAGTTTTCAGGTTGCTCTGGTTGTGACTAGAGGTGGTGAAAAAAATGCTGCCTAACATGCAAAAATGAGTGATTATGGAGCATGACATGTGGATTAGTTTAATGGCTTGATTTTAAAAGTCGTATTTTCATATTGTGGTACAAGGACCTGGTTCCATTTGGGTTCACGCTGGGGTCCTGTGGGGCCACAGTGGTGTTCTTGCCTTTGTTATAGACATAACACACACCACCTGTTATATAATGTTTCTTGTGAAGGGTTTTCACACCACTTAAAATATTATCCTAGTCAGTCTCCTTGCAGGAAGGGATGTGGTTTGGTGGCTTGCTTTGCATACATCATATGCTGTAGAAATCTCAGGCCTTCCTTCCTGAGCTAATAGGACTGGCCAGTAGATGCTTGCCCTCAAATCTCATTCTTGTTATGCCAACATCAATAAATTTCATTCATGCTGAATTTTAGCTAATGGTATCCAAGTGAGCTTTAGCAAATGCTTTCCTAGGGAAACATGACATGGTATTGCTACTGTTGTTTAGTGCTCTGGACATCAATGTGGCATGTTCAGTCACAGGCATGCCAGGGAAACGTGTCATCTTATTTATCTTCTCATTTTATCATTTCTGTCCTGTTAGGCGTTAACCACATTAACAGCTGTTATGATTAATTCCGGTGTAGGGGGAAGGGAAGTTTTAACGATATCCTCACTGGTTAGGCATATTCATGATTAAAAAACATGTTGGAAAGAATCCCCCTGTTGTTAACCAGAAGTCTTTTTAATTATCTTGGTAGTTACAGGAGTTGCCAAAATCTTTCCTTAAATAGGGAAGGACTTCTTCGCGGAGAATGTTGGATCAATAATCCAGTGACATTAGCTGACATTGTTTCTGGCTTTGATCAATCATTTCTAATAGGCATACTTGCATATTCCATTAAGTCAATAGCAAAACATTGATGACTTTTAATAAGTATAAACCACATGTCTCCTCTTGTGAGGTGAAGATGCTCCAAAGCATACTGTGTCCTTGTTCTCTCTCTCTGTGCGTATGCATGAGGTATACGTGTACACTCACAAAACGTTTGCATATTAAATGGGCAGGAATTATTAGTGTGCATGTATGTGTGTGTAGCTTCTTAAGTAAACAATGAATTTAAGGCATATTTCTATATGTGAAAGTACATAATACGTTACATAAAATGTATTTGTAAAAGTACATTTAGGTTATATAACTGAGAATTCAGTCTAAGGTTTCTATTTTTAAGAATCTGACACTGGGGAAAAACAAGGAGTGCAGAGACCTCAAAAAGCTGAGTGAAAAAATAATACTACTGAATTTTCAGTATGGTTTACTGGAGTAAATATGGTTGGATATGGTCTACTGCACCGGAAGTTTTCAGTTCAATGCCTATGGTCAGAGTTTAGGAAATTAGATTCGTGACTCCTTGTCCTCTGCTCACCTCTTTAACTTATTCTGCCTCCTAGTTAACATAATCTGACAAGACGGACACATAAAAATCCCTTTTGATCCTTCTGCTGAATAAGGTAAAGAGAGGCTACACATACTCTCATATTCCATGTGAAGCTCTGGATTAAACATGTCAGGATCTGTTTTGGCATGGCTGCTGTGCTTCCTTGGTCTTCCTACCTGTCTCTCCACTCCATATGTTGTGTTTTTAGGTGTACTGTTAAAAATGTAAACAATGCATGGAGCAGAAGGGAGAAGGATAAAATGGGCTTTGTGCAGGTGCATTTGTCAGAGGTGGGCATTAATTGCACCTGTCTGTTGAGAATACACTTGGCATGTTTCTGTGTGACGTGGCATTTGCTGATCTTGAAGTTGTTGCTGAACTTGAAGTTGCTGAACTTTGAGCAGGCAGCTAAGGTTTTGAGACAGTTGACTGTGCTCAGAGGCTGCTGGCCATGCTTGTAAAAAGACTGACTGTAGGGTTAGGGTTGTGAACCTCCCAGTGGGGCCCGGAGATCTCCTGGAACTACAGCTGATGGTTTCTGTAGTCTGGAGGATGTGGCTGCTTTGGAGTGTGGACTCTCTGTTCCTTCCCCTCCCCAAACTCCACTCTCCACAGTTCCACCCCCAAATCTCCAAATATTTCCCGTCCCAGATATCTCTGTTTATGTATACAGATTTGTATGGGAGACATAAATATAAATTGAGCTGTACAAGGCCATAGCTGTTTTGTAAAGGGTGCAAAAATCATTAGTGGAATTGACTCATTCTCCTTTCTTTGCTTCTCCCCAATTTCTACAGTTTTCTCTAGCAAAGCCACAGGCTACTGCAGGTCAATCATGGCAAGCGGAAAGAGGCTTTAACAGTCTCCCCTGGGAATGGTATTAATAGCATTCCTAATGAGTGAATGCTAAGTGCCATGAGCCAATTTGGCAAGTGTGAAGTTTATAGTTGGAGAAAGGTGTTTAACTTTTAGAAGGCTGCCAGCCGTGGGATGGCTTTTGGCCTTCGTATTGTGATAGGGTCCAGAGAATCAGCTGTGTTAGTGACAGCACAAACACCAAGGAGGCTTGTTGCACCTGAAAGGCTTCCATGTTTATTCTGGCAAAATCTTTTGTGGATTAGAGCCAATTGCATTAGATGCATTAAGTGGTATCTTGGCAAGCAGATAAGCAACCATGGAGGGAAACAAATTGTACACAATGGAACCCGAAGGCCATGAAATGTAAGCAGGGCATTCTGGGACCATTTCTATGCAGAGCTCAAATGTATAAGCTCAATGTGATTTTACCAGTTATGATGCCCAGTCTTCCTATGCCAGTCTTCCTAGTTTTGGTAAACTACTCAACATCAGTAGTGAGTGCCAAATACAAAATCGAACATCAGTAGTGAGTGCCAAATACAAATCGAAATATGGTCAATGTGATAATTTTTAATTCAGCATTTGCACCCTGAAATCTCCCTTTTGAAGTTCTTTTGTTGAAGTAGGCTGCCTTTCAGGTCGGTGGGAGAGTCTCTTGGGAGACTGAAAAGTTATCTCTCTCATTTTCTCTAGGCCACTTTGGCTGGAGATCCTGGAGGTTTTTTGTCATCTTCTGGGCATGGAACAGTTGTCCCTTGGGATTTGGGGGGGGGGGAGGTATTTGTTAATTTTCAGCGTTGTGCAGGGCGTTGGACTAGATGACCCTGGAGGTCCCTTCCAACTCTATGATTCTATGATCTCTGAATGTTGCCGTTACTTGCTGTCATTATTTGTGCTTGTTTTTGTTCTGCATAGAGACTCACCTATTTGACCTAGGTAGGCATCAAAATAGCATTGCAGACAGTGAATTTAACCAGCTTTCCCACTGCTAAACATGGGAGGAAAGGATCCCCTTTCACCCAAATAGCTGTTGTGGGGCTTGTCAGACCTGCATGAATAAAAATCCTCAATTTGAGAGAAGGGTTATGATAAGGAGGGGGATTTAGGAAGGATTGTGTGAAAAGGCTGGCTGGATCCAACCCATATGGTAGCATATATTATTATGCTGGAAGATGAATTGTTGATGGAGACAGAGTTGGCACCAGAGTTTCAGAGGCTGGTGTTGTATTTGTGTAGGTTTAAATCAAGACCAGAGCTGCGGTGG